TTAATATTGTAAGCAGTAAACAAGTATTGTATTCAGCAGTAGGTATGAAAACGAGGAAAAAGAACGTCTTTGCCCCGAGCGGTTCCCATCCACGTTTTTTCATCTTTTATACGTCTTACCGCTATTAAAAATGCAACTAGGAATCGCCAAACTCTTTTATATCTCTCACGAAAGGATGAGGGATATATTTATTTCGTCAAAATGTTTGCAACGCCCAGAAAGAATCTTCAGAGAGCTTAAAAAGCACCTATATTTTTGATCAATATCAAATTCTGAATCGATTTAAGCATGTCCGTCTGTCCGCCTGGCTTGTTGTCCGGCACCGCAACATCTGTCGTAAACATTCGCGGAGCCGCAAAAATGGAACTATCGTATTTAAACTTGGTAGAACTATTGAAGATTCTTGCACGCAGGCTGACATTGAAAATGGGCCAATCGGTCGCCTACAGTGCTACACGAAGTGAGGACAACTCTTTTTTGATCATTACTCATAAACTATATTATATATAATATAAACTGTAGTATTGTACAAAACTGGAGAACATTGACCACTTACCCAATAGTATAAAGTATCAAAATATAATTTTTTGTCAAAAGATTTACAACGCGCAGAAATAAAACTCAAAACGTCCATAAAGCATATAAATTGTTGGCAACTTTCAAATTCAAAATGCAGCTAGCAGCCGGCCCCACTCCATGTTATAGAGCATGAAAATTTATGTTTTTTATTCTTTTCGGCTAGTTTAGGATAACGGTGGAGTATATAAGAGATTTGGTGATAAGCGACATTTTTCTTACTTTTTTCTTAATTCATTTTTATAAGTTGGGACGTTAAAAACAGAGAGCTGTAAAGCAATTTCACTTTTATCTGTTTTCTAAATTGTGGATAAATATCTACTCAAAAAACAATTTTTTTTATTTTTAATTTATTACTCAAGCACCCCTTCTTTTATTTAACCTCACAGAACAACTAAGGGTACTTCAATATCCACCTAATTTTTTTTTAGATTTGCGAATGCAAACTTTATGAAGTATACGTATAGGGTAGTGAATCGAGAATCTTAAGAGATGAAAACACTGTAAATTTTTCCCATAAAATCTTATTTCCATTTATGTTTACCAACTATCGCACTATGAAAGCTAGGCAAATTACGAATTGGCAATAATTATTTGATGCAGAGGAACCCAAAACTAACAAGAAACACTTCCGTCATAGCAGAAAGCAGCGCAGCGTACGCACTCACTTCAGAGTACCCAGTAATCTATTCAACTAATAAAACTTTTACAAAAAAACGGAGTGGACTTGGCCTATTTAATCACAAGTATGAGTGGTATTGATGAGATGACGTGTCTTTTTCGTCGCTATGAAATTATGTTTTCCAATAGCTCTACGATGTGTTAAAAATTTAGAGTAAACGTTTAGCTGTTAAATATTTTGTAATTTACAGTTGGCCAGTTTTAGGTCAGTAATATATAACGTTAAGTCCTTTTTATATAATAATCAAGAATGTTTGATTTTCATTAGTTGTGCGAATAAAACAGATATCAAAACATTTTTCAAGAAAATTTTTGCTCGATATGCGCGCTTATTATCACGCTGGGCTATATATGTACATGGGTTTACTTATTATTGCGTTAACGCAGTATGTTTCGACGTCATCCGTTTAGTTGTCGTGCATGTGTACATATTAAAAGCAAGAAACAAAATAAAAAGAATATGAAACCGTAACGAATGAAACACAGAGACACATTATTATAATAGCAGCAATCAAAGCTATTGGTGCACTTATAAACTGTTGTTTGCTTTCTTCTTTCTTGTGCATATAACGAATTATTCAAAACGCCAACCGAATCTTCTGATTGGTTAACTTTTGAAATTGTTGCGACAACCTTTGTTTCATTGAATGGTATTGATTGGTGGTTGCAAACAGTATATTCGCACACATGTAATTATGGCTCTTATTAGAACATAACATTTTAATTTTATAGAGTTGCTCTCGTAAGATGCTCCTTCGAAACGGTGTTTTACTTTCTCATTTTCATTTACTTTATCAGCAAAATCTAAGCCAAGTACTCCGGTCTGAATATTAATATAAGTCATAATTTTTCTTGTTAGAAGGCTTCATTCCATTTCAAGCAGAAATATGCCCGATTATGGGTTGCTATGCTAAAGGGTTGATTACTTCCTCCAAAATAGCATACTTTACTAAAAATAAAAAATAAACAACGTTTCCTCTCGGTTGACTTGTATTTACACACCTTTTAAAAATGCACACCCATGTACACATACGGCGTCCAAACAACCTCGAAAGAGGCGGCTCAAGTGATCGCATACCAATTAATATTCTGATGGATGAGATTAATTCCATCTACAAAAAGCCAACTATGATGGGCGCAGCATGCCATTATAAGGAAGAAGGATCGCCTGACGCATATGAACGGATGGTAATCGCACTATGAAAGTACAGCAAAAGACAGAAAAGAGAGGACTTGGAAGCGAACAAGGTATTCCATTAATGTCCCGCATATAAGGAGCGCACTAATTGCAACCAGCCTGCGCGGGGTAATGCCAAGTGGTGTGAAGAGTAAGTTAAGAATGTAGGCATCACAGCTGACAAATCGTGGATGCGAATGATGCAAACCTGTAACATCTGAAGAATATTCCAAACTCCACTTCGCATGGCAAAAAACAAAGAAGTACTCATCTAATTAATATATATTTTTAGTTTTGAACGTTGCGAATTATGCCAGACTACACGTTTAAACCTTATGCCGCAGAAAAAGTTACCTCGCTCGAATGCGAAAGGTTTTTTTTCACTGCGGGTAGGTGCACTTTATACGTCGCAAAATAAGAGAACCGTTATTTTACAATTTAATTTTAAGAAACCATGATGGATGAGAACAAATGCACAAGACAAATTCGAAAATTCTGGGGTAGAATCGAATATCGCTCGAATCGTACTCCCTTTGAATGCTGGTATAATTTATGAGGAGCGACCTAAACTGTCGCTGTCAAACTTACCAATAATAACTGACTGATTTATTGAATGAATCGTTACATGTTCTATTACCATACGCCATAAAGCGTGTTAAAGTGCATATACAGCATAACGAACCTCATAGTGACCAAAGTCCATGCAGAAAACGTTAACACCGCCGAACCGCAATGAAACAAGTCATTACTGGTCCACTTTTTAAAAGCTCAAACGGGATCTAATTTTATTATTTTTAAAAAACCATAAGTGATTCGTACAAATCACCGTTATACGAGTGTATTTATTTATTAGCTGTCCATTCTTCGTACATTCACATATATTAGTGACAACAGCAAGACACTAGCAAAAATGTAGGCAATGTTCTAGCGTACGCAAGATTTGGTTTCAAGTTTTTTTTTTTTTCAATCTCTTATCTGCTTATGCTTATACATATATATATTTGTATATACGTATAGAAGAGACTGCTGTTGACGAATGGCACAACAACAATTCTTATTATTGTTGCAATACACAAACAAACGCTATATTAATTTAAGTACATATTAACTTTTATACACGCATATAATAAGAATTTGTGCGGCAAAGAGAAGAGATTCCTTGCAGGGGGTTCGCCTGCTTTGGCTCGCTCATTGGTTGGTTGATTGTTCGGTTAGTTTATAACATAGCCAGTACACAGTAAAGTTTTTGTTGGCACACAAATGCGGTTGGGCGGTGGTTAGTTATCGTTATTGGGAAAAATGCCCCCACCTTCACATTAGTAGCAGCAGCTGGCAGAATCTCTTCCCTTCTGCAGTTATAATCTTAAGTATACATAGGATATTTCAGTCACTTACCGTCTCAGCTTCCACAGTTAAGTAGAAGAAATGCAAAGCTTAGTAACACCGTCGATTTATATGTGAATGCCATATCCGTGAGGAGAAGGTCTGACTTAGCGCTTTAACAGTAAACGCAGTAAAACATATACGGGCAAACATAAACGGGGAAAGCATAATCGGTATAATTCTTACAGCATTAAGAACACAATTGAAAACTTACTGCATAAAACTGTAGTTATATGTTATACGATTTACAAATTTTTTGATTTTTCGATAATGTCATCGCTCAATTCACAAATCTATGAATTGTTTCGTTCTTGCCAAAACCGTGAAAACTGCATAACAATTTTCAAACTCAAAAACGAAGCAAATGAAAGTGTTAACTACTATAATTCTTAAAAACACGGCTTCTGCCGTTAATATTTTTAAGCTATTTAGATGCAAAATATGGCGCTGTATATATATATGTATATGTTCGTGCGCGTGTAAATAGATACGTATGTATACATATTTCCACAAACACACATACGCGTGTTGCGCGTCTATATTCATATATATATATTTGCCGCCTTTTTCTTCGTTGGTTATCTAAGCAGATAACTTCGGTAATTTGATTTGGTTTGATTATTCGTTGCCTCGTCCTGATTTGACATATATTGCACAGCAAATGTGCCAACGTGAAATTTAAAGCAAACGGCTATATTCTGTAGTTAACGTCAAAAAAAAATAAAAACATAAAAATTAAAAAATTTTTTCAAAATCATTTTAGTTAAAAGTGGAGATCACGCAAAAATTCGTGGAATTCGACGTTTTTCTGACCATTGTCTAATTAGAAAACAAGGTTGGCGTTTATGAACTCGATGGCCAGACAATTTAAAATAGCAGTTTGAAAATCGTCGGCAATGATTTGAATATTCTACACGGTTGGAATACAATCTCCGTCGGAGTGAACGCGAAGCGATGGCCCTTTTATAATAAATACATTCAAAATTGAAAGCAAATAGATAACTAAAATGTTAAAGTGCAATAATAGTAGCTCCTAATATTTATCAATACTATAGACAACCCTAATATAAGGAAAACAAAATAAGGACAACAAGAAAAAAGGATTAAATTGAATGAAGCTGCAGATATATATTTTAAAATTATTTGCCAGGAATAGTAATAGTTCCACCTTTACGACACGACAATGGATTTATCAACTGCATATCGCTACAATCAAAACATGATGGAATACTACACATGTAAAGAGTTTTATCTTTTTATATTTTTCTTAATATTTTTGCATAATGTAAAACGGGAAAGAAGAATGAACAATAATTTCTTGACCGTAACAACATAAATGTCAGTTTGATGGTAATACTTTTCAAGTGTATTATTACACTACAAAAGCTAAGCCCAATCTTAGTTTATCATGCTAAACACAAACGATCTTTAAAAATTTTTCTACTAATGTGCAGATGGTTCGGTAGAAAAGAATATACCGAGATAGAAAAAAAGAAAGGTATATTTATCTAATTTAAACTATCAGTTCTGTTAATCTCTTACAGATTACAGAGTTTTTCAGTAAGGTCATTTCTGACCCAGCTTCGATTCTAATAGTTCAGCTATTTCGTCAATTATTTGAATTGGGACGGTGTCATTCAGTTCAGCGTTTAATACTGTTACAACCCCTACGTGTTCGCTATAATAAGGTTAAATAATTGGCCTAATGATATGTCTCGCATCAATCGCGAACAAAATAAATTATGTTTGTGGACTTAATTGGATTACACGAAAGCCCAAGGTGATCTCCTGATAGAAATCATCTTATTGAGAAAAAATTTTTTTTTGTATTTATGACACTTACGTTGAGTTGAATATCGATTCGATCTACCCATGATACAAAAATTGTTTTTTCCTTTTTGTTCTGAACAATACCGTATTCTTTTATTAGCTTAAGATTCCCTTCAATATTTTATATGAGGTGAGAAGAAGTGGTTGATTCAGTGGTTCCGGATTGTTGAAACTAATCTGTTGTGTCCATTACAATGGATAATTTAAAACTTTTGAATATTGGTAAGGTCTTAAAACAAACATTGTATGCAGCCTTCATAATATGTGGATACGCTTTGATAAAAGAGTCAATTTACCATGTCTATTTAGCCATCTTCTTGCTTTCTGTCTGCTTAAATTCTGACTAGAAGCCAGAAAGCTTATCTGTAAGAAAAAATTTGACCTTAAATTGCTTAGCACATTTTTTTAGGTTAATCTTCAGACACGTTAATAGGCTCGGAATTAGAAAATAAAAAAAATGTGCAATCTATTGCAAACTTTTAATTTGAAGGTTCTAAGGCGAGGTATTTGTATATGGCTTTTGAATAGCCCAATTGTCTTCAAAGTCCTGATTTCAATCAAAATTCCTCTCAAAATGAAACTTAAAATATGTACGAATCATGACATATTTGGTAAGGGAAAGACGTATCCTGAGAGATTGAGCAAATTGGAAGCAAGTTTTATCTAACATAAATCATAACAGAATAAACGAAGCTTTTTACAATGCGGCACACCGTGCATTTTAGATTTGCTCTAATTTTGTCTTTCGAAATATTGCATACCATAAAATTTCTACGAACCTCGATGAATCGGATCAGCCATATGTAAATTGTACTTTATAAATTGGGCGTGATCATCTATTAAAGATATGCCGATGACTTTTTTCTACTTCCTAGTTTGTCATTTCACAGGATGTTTGAGTAATTTACAAAAGCTACTTATATGGGCTAGAAAAGTATTTTACGTCTAGATAGGATACTTATGCTATTTAGAAGCGGATATGATACGTGTTCTGTGATATCATATCATACTTTTTTTGAGTCAGTCATTATTAGTACATTCAGCTTTTTAATTTTAATGGCAACACCTTTCCTCTTATAACATGCTTGAGGAGTATGAAAACAGTTTTCTTATGTTTCTTAATACGTTCCTTTTTTGGCTCTTTGTTCTATTTATTTATTGATAGTAGGCGCGGTCACAAATTAGGTGGGTTTGTTCCCGGGAGACTTCTAAAGTTCGTTAGACATGTGCAGAGCGGTTTCGTAACGAAATGCGAACTGATCGTGCTCATCTAATTATTCTTCTTCTCTCATCCTCTACGTTAATGTCAGTGGTGTCTCCACCATTTTGTGCATTCATTACCAGTTAAATCTGGCAAGGTTTCATTAATCGACTACCAATTTAGTTTTTATTTTCTTTTATTTGCTTATTTCCTTAAAATTCTCTATCTTGCTTTTTATTGCATTTTTTATCTCATTCCTTTTGTTGTATTGTGTTAGTGAACAAGTTGGTTGACTGCTTCGTCCTCGAAATGTAGAGGATATTTAAAATTGGTAACGTTTGTTAGTAGTATTTAGTTGCTCAATATTTCTTAAAGATTCTATTAATAAAAAATCAAAAATTAAAATAATTTTAATTTTTTTTTCAATTTTTTAATAGAAGATCAAGGGTTGTCGATCGTTATACGTCGGGCTCACTAAACGTGAGCGATTTTTCGTCACTTCCTTTAAAAGTTAAAAGACGGCACTGTGGTTTAGTAGCATTAAAGTTTATTAGCTTGACCATTCTCTGTTACTTTTACGATCTCACGATTTAATGTGTCATTCATCATGCAACGTTTGTTGTGTATTTCGGTGCTGGTCTTGGTAAAAGAGAACGGGTGATATATGGTGCTCTTATCTGTAACTGAGCAAATAGGGTTTTCTGAGAACGAGAAGGCACACTCTGTCAAACGGTTTTAGCATATCCAGCATTACGACTTTCCTTTCGCCAAAATGGCCTTGGCGTCGGTTTCACTTTGTGGCAACGAAGGACATTGTAACCCGATTTGTCCGATTTTTGCAAAAGCTCTATTGTCTATCGTAAATTAGATCATTGGATTTTAATTATCTCATCAGGTTGTAATTGTACATGGTGTCCATTGTTTTGGTTATGACAGAATGGATTGCAATTGTGTAGGTTTGTGAGATTACCTCTCTTATGTACGGGGTGAACATTCGCAATCTTCCAGCAAGTTAAGACAATACTAATATAATATGATAATTAATGACCTGACAAGTGTCACAGCACACTTCTTTCACACAATTATTACAATGCTGCGGAATTTTCCCAGTATTAAGACTGGCAGAGACTTACTCGATCGTTCGAAAAAATGAGGTAGATATCGGGCATGTTAGTTCTTGGAGCTGGGCACTGGTTGGTAAATGGAACTTTGCAGCAAACATTTCAGCCAGCATGTTAGCTTTATTAACCGAGTCGGATATTATTTGGTTTTTGTTGAGAAGATTTGACAAGAAACTCTTGCTGCTTTTCGGTGCGGTAAGGCTACGTACCTCTGCTCTTGTAAAGTTTTTCGCGCCGTATTACCTGTTTGCCTATATTCCATGATTATTTGCGGAACAGATTAGTTTTTTCGTTGGACTTAATATGCCATACCTTAAATTCTTCCTCTCTGGACCTTACTACTTGTCTGCAAATTGTTAAAACAAAAGTTGTCTTTTGGTTTAACCGAAGGTTTTTGAATGAAATGTAAGTTCTCACTGCACGTTTGATGATATTTTGCGTCACTTCTGTAGCAGCGTTAACTTTTTTATTTAGTTTCCACCTCAAATGTCTCAAAAAGTTGTTTAGTTCTGCCCATAATGCGTTATCGTATGTGATAAAATCCCATTTCGGGTCTGAGGGGAAGGTGGTAGCGGATAGTATTCGAAAAGTATGCAGAAACAGTATCGAGTTACTGCAGAAGAAAGCAAGGACCTTAACTTCGTATTATAGGGATACGAAATAGAAAAAAGATGTAGTGAGTTTCGTTGTAACCCATTAAATTAGAATATGCTATGGCTCTTTTGCAGGCTTCGTTAAGCAGGTCTCAATTGCGAAAATTTCTGCGTCGCAGTTACATGAGTCGACTGGCGTAACCAGTTTTTATTGTGGACCTTGAAATTGCGGTCAAATTAATTATTAATAATGGAGAATACTATGTGATAAAGCCGTTACAGGAAACCACTCTATCTGCGTTTGAGCTTCTTTAAACAAATCCGAAACGCAATGTGTGCGCCCAGACAAGGAATTTCGCCTATGACGAAACAAATGACAGAAAGAAGTAATAAATGCTAAACTTGCTCACCATAATCCTAACCATGTTGGAAGCCTTACTCTTTAAAGTGGTGTAGCTTGTAGTTCTGGACGATTGCCACATTGCTGAATGTTATGCGTTTACCGACATCTCGCCAGATGTGTTTACACGGTAACCATGCCAGATAGAGGATGGGCTATTTTTATTACTGTTGTATCGAGAATGTGAAACGCCTGCGTAGCTGTTTATAATGTTCTAATTGTTATATAGTCTATTCCTGGAACTTTATGTTTTCTGCGATTGTTGTTGTTGATGCTACTGCTATTGATGGTGCTGCTATAATGATTGCTTTTGTCTTGTTGTTTCGTTTCTGTTGTTGTTGTAGTTGGTATTATTTTCGTTGCTGATAGTGGTGCTAGTTTTGTTCCTGGCTCTGCCCCTGTTAATGTTGCTGCGTGTCATTATTGCTATTCTTGTTGTTGTTCATAATTGCTGCTGGGATTGCTGATGTTGTTATTACGGCTGTTCCTGTTACTTGTGCTTTTGTTTTCTTCAGACTTGCTATTAATTCTGGCGACGTCACTGTTGTTGTTGCCGTCGTTGCTGTTGTTATTGCTGTTATTTTTTTTTTATTTTATTGCTTCCGTTTGGGCTATTGTTGTTCTTTTTATTGTTGCTGCATTTGTTGTTATATTTGATGTGCATACTATTGTTTCAGATATTGCTGTCGCAAAATACGACCAGACAGCAGTGAAAACTATTGAAACTTCACCAACGGTTCATAAACAATAATTCGCGAAGCTTGGAACAAGACCTGGTTTAAAGGCTTCGAACTCTTCTACAGACTTGGGAAGGTTGTCAAAACTACAATTTCGTTTGCAATTGCTTTTTGCATATTCCTACTTATACAGCGCATTAAAAATACATTCAAAAGAGCTTTACGACTATATTCTGCATATCTACGTTTGGATCATTACTTCAGCATAAACTTATTATGTATAACTTAATTCAACATGCTTATTTATGTATAATTAAATTTGAATATTTTCTTCGCATAGTTTTTATAGCGATCAGTTTTTTCTTACTCATTAATGACAGTTCCAAAAGTTTTACCTTGTATATACAATTCAATAT